AGTATTATTATCCATTGCAGCAAATTTCTCATAGCCATTGTTCCAAATGGATGTTAAAAATGCCTTCCTCAATGGTGATCTACAAGAGGAGGTATACATGGAGTTACCTCCCAGATTCTACAGTATAAAAGTAGGGAATAAGGTCTACCGGTTGAGTAAAGCCTTATATGGATTGAAATAGTCACCAAGAGCATGGTTTGACAAGTTTAGACTAGCTCTTGGAAAATTTGGCTATGCCCAAGCCCAATCAAATCATACTCTTTTCATTAAGAAAACAGACTCCTCCTTAACTCTACTTGCTGTTTATATGGATGATATTGTGGTGATAGGGAGTGATACCCATGAGATTGACTCTTAAGCAACTGCTTCACAAAGAATTTGAAGTCAAAGACTTAGGAGAACTACGTTATTTCTTGGCTATTGAAGTAGCTCGGTCCAAACATGGAATTTTTGTCTCTCAAAAGATGTATGTTTTTTATCTTTTGGAGGAAGCTAGAAAGCTAGGTGTTAAACCAACTGACACACCCATTGAACAAAACCATAAGATTAGAACCGAAGGTGGGGAGCCCCTTGAAGACAAGGTTATGTTTCAGAGGTCGGTAGGGAAACTGCTTTATTTGTGCCTCACCCGACCAGACATTTCTTATGCAATCAGTGTAGTTAGCCAGTACATGCATTCTCCCATAACCACTCATCTTCTTGCAGTTGAGAGGATCCTTGCTTACCTGAAGAGATGTCCAGGCAGAGGCATACTCTTCAAAATAATGGTCACATGAAGATAGAAGTCTACAAAAATGTTGATTGGATGGGGTGTGTTGATGATAGGAGGTCTACTTTTGGGTATTATGCCTTTGTAGGAGGCAACCTTGTCTCTTGGAAGAGTAAGAAACAAAATGTTGTAGCATGTTCCAGTGCTAAAGTAGAATACAAATCTATGGCACATGGTGTGGCTGAAGTGTTGTGGTTGAGGTCCTTATTTGAGGAACTGAGAATTACTTATGAGAAACCCTTGATGCTATATTGTGATAACCAGGCTGCTATTAACATTGCCCACAATCCAGTACAATATGATAAAACTAAACATATTGAGGTGGATCGACACTGTACCAAAGAGAGTTGCCTCACAAGAAGTGTGCCTTCCATATATTGCCTCTAATATGCAACTTGCTAATGATCTCTTCACCAAGGTAGTTTACAAAGGCTAAGTTGGAAGTAGATTTACGCAAGCTGGGAATGATAAATATCTATTCCCATCTTGAGGGGGAGTGTAGAGATGTAGAACAATAACTAGTGCTATTATTTTATTTATTGTGGTCCCCACTACTACCGTTAGTTAGTTATCTTTATATTTGTTGTTAGGCTATTGTTAGCAATTAAGTTGTTGTTAGCAATGTTAGTTTATTAGTTATTTGCTTATGTAATAGTAGGGGCTTTACTGTAATTGCTATCTTATTTTTTTTTTTATATTATAAATAGATGAGTGGGGCAGTAGCTAAGGTCAATCACTCTTTTTTCCTTTTAATCTGCATCAAGAATTGGATTGATTACAATCTAAATTTGTCACTGATTTCATTTGGATTGTAATAAAAAACTTAATGAAGAGAGGCATCCGAATTGGATCCGATAGCCCTATCCCGACCTGCATTGGGAGCATCTCCCACTTAGGCTAAGTTTGGGAGCACTTATTTGAAAAATAAGTGCTTAAAAACAAGTGCTTATTCCAATAAGCACTTATGAATGTTTGGTGAAACAACACTTACTTTAAATAGGGTGTTTTGACCAAATCAATTGCAACATTCTCATCTTTTTAGTATGGTATATACAAATTTCTATGAATTTCTATATTATTTTGTAAATTTTCTATGTATTTCCTTATTTGTTTTTGTAGTTTATATTATTTTTTCAATTTTATGTTTTTTCATAATTATTTTGCAATGGCAGTATATACAATGGGAAAAAATAAAAGGTTGAGGGTAAAGTTGGAAAGTGAAATTAGGGTTTTTTACCAAACCAATTTCAACATTCTCATTTTTTTAGTACTAAATTAATATTAAGCCCATAATAGGATTCTTAATATCTAACTAAAATTAATATTAATTCAATAAGAGGTGTCTTTTGTATTCTTTTTAAGTTTTGGTGTTTAGATGATTTCACATGCACTATGTTAATCCTAAGTGAAGTTCATGAATTTTAATTTTTATTCTAAATATTAGGGTGAATTTATAGAATAATTGATTGAAATATGATTTCAGCAAAAACATAAATAATGATAAATTATTGGTCATGGGATCTCTAACCACCATTTGGCAGTTCTTATGTGTCATGTGTGTAACTGATGATAATTTATGGACAGTTGCAATGAGTTAAATGAATATAGTAGGTAGCAACAAGGTCACCATCAGACAGTGTACGTGGCCATTTACGATAAGATCAAATACTTGATCAATCAAAAAAGAACATTGGAAAACAAAAATTGTTGAGGGTAAAGATGGAAAGTAAAATCAAGATTCAACCATCTTAACAGTTTGCATTCTCATTTTTTATCATTGGGAAAAGTTTGGTGGACAACGTACGGCCTCATGAATCATGATAGTTAAATTAAATACTAGAAAAACAAAAATCATAAAGGGTAAAAAGGGAAAATAAAATTAGGCTTTTTGACTGAAAATTGTTACCATCCTCATTTTTATAAATGGTACAGATACATATTTTGTCTTCCTATGCCAAAGAATCCAATGAATTGATTAGTTACAACAAAGAATGTTGATTTTGATTAGGGTGTAACAGGAAACTCAACACAACTCAATATTGGTGAAGGTTCTTGTTTTCTTTTTTTTTTTTTTTTTTTTAATTTGTGAACAAACAAAAACCATTAAGCAACAGAAGGTACTAATATTCACCATTAGACGCTTAGTTAGAGCTACTTAATGAGTAGCTCTATTACAATCCCTACTAATATCAAAAGACATACACAATCATATTTTATCCAGAATGCCCCAAAATCTCCAACAAATATAGTCGAATTTGATCCATTAATAGCCAAACATAGTTCTACTTCTTGCACTCACACCAAAAGGAATATCCACTTGATCTCTTGTAATGCAAACTCAAAGCAATTTTAGAGATAGAAAAAGAGAGGAACGAACACCTTGAAATGAATGCCGCTTGTAGAGGTTGCGGAAAAGAAACAATTGGCTCCAATGTTAGTGGTCTTAGATTGTAAGATAAACAGAGAGAGAGAGAGAGAGAGAGAGAGAGAGAGAGAGGGAGGGAGGGAGGGAGGGAGGTTGAGCATGGTTTTTAGCAGTTGGTAGCAATGGTGGAACTAGATATGAGAGGGGAGGAAGAAGGGAGAGGGAAAGTGAGAGAGATGGGTTAGAGATGAAGGAATAAATGAAAGGGTTTGAGAGTTTAAGCAGGATATCAAAATATCAAATGCATTTGATATGTTTTTTGAGTCCAGCCTAACGTTAAGTCCAAACTCAGTTAAGTGCTGGCATAGGAACGTGTTCGATTCTCATTCGTTAGGATAGAAAAAATTCTGTCCCTAGGGGACAGACGATTTGAGCTCCTAAATTTGTGTTTGCGTAATGAAACTGTTCCATGTCAGAAAGGCTCGTTATTTGCTGAGTAGCTTCTGGTATTTCTAGGTTAGACCATTGCACATTGCAGAAGTATATATGTTTGGGGTATTGAATTGACCTCTTGACTAGGTTTTGTAGGTTTTTCTAATTTTGGCTCAGTATTTAACTCTGGAACAGCTTCAACCTTCTTCATATCAGGTGCTCTTTATTTCATCAGTGAGCTCCTTGAGAGCAACCTTGGTGTTCAAGAACTCATTGACTTGTTTTAATGTTACCTTTCTGTCTTCTGCAAACAATAGTTTTTGCTGACAAATTGAACAAGTATAGCTGAACCGAGAAGTTGGAGTATTGTTTCTATCTCTGAAAATGCCAATAAACCTAAACCAGTTATTTCTGCTATTCCAAGTGTAACAGGCAAACCATCAAAACCTTCTCCAAATGCACCACTAAATAGCATCTATCAAATTGCCAAAATCAAAACTGAGTGCTCTCTTTGGGGCTCCATGGTAGACCACTATTTAGCCATCCTCAGGACTCTCTACACCATTTTTTATAGCATAAGCACCTTTGAAACCATTTGCAGTGATTAATTCTGAAACCAATTCAGAGTTCCCATCAACTTGTCTAAAATGAACAATATGGTATTTTCTGGTTCCTTGAACTTCAAAGATAGCCCTATTCAAGGACACAACCTTCTTCTTCAACCCCCTAATTAATATCTAGGCTACCCACTTCCCTAAACTCCATCGCTTCTCTTATATCAAGCAATTGAGCATCAACATCATCGGTTAATTTTGCATAAGCATTCTTTGCAGACTCAACACCCCATGGTTTAGGCTTTTCTAAAACTCGAAACAAAACTAATGGAAGCGCTAAAATGGTGGCTCTGCCAACTATGATCGCGGGGTTCTCTGTTGCAAAGCCAACAACGCTGTCAACAAGACCACCCACATCAACATGATATATATACTCAGTTCATCAAAACTTATGGTTTCTAATCATACTTGTTCATTCTTTTTAGCCATTCAATGATTACAATAGGACCAACCATTTGAAGTGGAGATAGAATGGATTTAGATAATTTGTAAGAAAGGGTATTTTAGGAATTTTAAAAATATATTAATCACGTGATGTTACATGGACAGAATGTGACAAAAAATTAACACTAAGATAAAAAATTAACAGCAAGAAAAATTTTAAACAATTATCAAAAAACTTAAGAATACTTTAAAAAATATTAAAATAATAAAGATAGAATTAATCAATTTTAAAAATCGTTAGTACAAATATATACAAAATAAAACAAAATAAAGGTTTTGAACTCTTACATATTTATTTTTTTTGATAGGAAACAATGAGTGCTACACAACACGGGGGTAGCAGCCCCACAGTCAGTACATATTTCTATTTGTACTCTTTTCAAACTAAGCCTTATCTTATATGCACTAGTTTCTCGAAGGTATCCTGTCTCCTGTTGCTGAAGATGAAGAAGGAGCTTCTCGCTTCTGCGCCATGGAGGGACGAACAAAAATCCGAAAAGTTTCCGGACGCTAAGCTTAGAGCCACCAACCAGCCGGGGATGACGCCTACCATGTATGTCCCTCGTAAGAAATCTGTCTTCTCGAAATCCACCAAAGACGATGACGATTCACTTTCAGAGATTGACCCGGAGCTTAGATACAGCTTCCAAAGGAACTTTCAGGTTTTATTCTTCCATATAAAATTCTCCTTTTCTTCTTTTATTCGATGTGTTCCGGAGTTGAATCCATCGTTAACTGATGTTCTCCTCTGCTACTTATTTCTCATTTTTACTTATACTCAAATTGGCCGGTCTCCATCTATATTCGGAGAGTGTTATTAGTGGTTTCAACTTTCAAGTCTTTCTTCGATTCCCATTTCTTATATCCTCTGAATTTTGTTTGTGTAAAGCTGCAAGATAAAATTTTCGTATTATCATTGATATCTTATTTTGTTTTTCTTTTGGTATTTTGGTTTATTTGATAACCCTTTTGTATTTTGTAGTTTGATTTTCTTTAATTGATAATATTAATTCTGTTAGATGTCGTATCTCTCTTTACTTGTTAAGAAAACATTTTATACACTTTTAGTCTCTCTTAATCCTGATTGCTATTAGATATCTGTGTCATGGAACTGAATTGAACTTTTCAGTTTCCTTTGGATACTCAGTTTCCTTGTGTTCCCTGATGTGAATGTTTTGAATATTGGGCAGGGGCAATTATGAGTTCAATGAGCAACTGTTGATCATTTTATCTAGGGTTATATAGTATTTTGTTAATTTCCTTGTGTAGGGGAAGGCAAGTAATATGTTAAACACATGTTGTAGTTGGGAATAGAAATGGTTACAGAAGGGTCTATGGAAGTGGTGGCTTTAAAAGCTTACTGAATCAGGACAATGTTGCTTTTAGGAACTCCAATGAGTGGAAAAAACTAGAAAGGATAGGGTCAGAAGTGAAGTCATTTGAAGGAACCTAGGAGTAGTTCCAATAGGTGATAAAATGAGAGAAAGTAAACTAAAATGGTTTGATCATATGCATAGAAGGCTTTGACAATACCCATAAGAAGAAGTGATCTGTTGAAAGTTGAAGGAGTTAAAAGGGTTGGGGAAGACCAAAATGGACATGGGTTGAAGTAGTAAGAAATTGTTTGAGCACTAATTTAAAAATGGATATGGCATTAAACAGAATTGAATGGTGAAAAGGATTCATTTAGCTAACTGACCCCATATAGTTGGGATATGCACTATCACTTTGAAGGAGGGATAGAGGCTCTCAGTATGGAAGAAAAATAGAAAGGGTAAAATCAGGTGCAGGTATTAGGACATAATTATAAAATGATGAGTAAAAGGAATTAGTTGGAAAACATTTTGATAACCGAAAAATTCTCTTCAAGAGGTTATGGAAGTTGAACTGTGAAATAGGTCATTGTGTTACACGAAATGGTGGAATTTCTTTTGAAATTTCTTTTATCTTATTTTTATGTAGCCAAGAAGAACTTGCTGTTATATGAAGTTGGTAAAGGACATTAGTAAAAGAATTGTTATTGGAAACTCTTCAGCCATCAGGGCTCCCTGGTTGGAGTAAAACTTGGCTTGAGTTTTCATTTTGCCACTTGCCAGTATATAATTACCTGTATAATCCCTTATAACATCAGTACTACTGTTGTTTTTCTCTTTGGATTGGGAAAACTATTGTAGTCATTGACATAACAACTATTCACCAACAACTTCTCCATCAGATTGCAATTGTGGTCATCTTTTCCTTTGCATATGTTCCCATTGTCTTGCTTGTGTTGTACAGTTGTACTGTTATGTTTTATGAGTACATATTACCAGTTGTGAACTTTCAAAGCAATGGAGTAATGCGACAGTTTGGTTCAATAAAACTTCATCTCCCTTGTTATTTATTTGTTGTAAGGAGTACTTTGGAGAACAATGATGACAAATGATTTGTATTCTTCAAGGGAGAAGTTCAAATAGGTGGTTGGATTTTGCTTCCCTTTTACAGGAGCAGGCGGACATGTTCAGACAAGAAAAAAAGAGAGTGGAAAAAAACACTTGAAAAGGATCAGCAAAATTCGGGTGAGCAGTTTAATCCTGTCAAGTGCATGTTGATGAAAAGGAAGACTATTGAGGAGAGACAAGGGGAAAGATTGAACAGGGGGGATGAAGAGAAGTTAAAAGAAATTTAACATGGTTATTGATAAAAAAAATTGAACATAGTGATGTGCAATAAAGTTGACATACCCAAGGTTTTGCTGAAAAGAGAGAATGATCAACAGGAAAATTTATTGGTTGTGAAATTCACAAGGAAGTTATGAATTGGGGGTTTGTGAGAGAAACTATTATGAAGTTTTTTAAGATTGAGGGTACAGTTTCAATTATCCTGTTTGGCCATGATGCGGCTCTGTTAGATATTGGCGTTGTGGCAGATGACATTGTGGAAGCTTTGATCCCTTCAACTCAGGGGGTGCTCCAAATGGAAGATGGGTTCCTTCTTGTAATCAGAAAATTGTGGAGACAGGTAGTTTAGTTGTTAGACAACTGTGATGGTTGTGATGACTTGAAGCCATCACTTCTTGTAATCACAAGACACTTCCCTTGAGCGATTGAAGGTCATTCCAATGGTTGGTGATACAAGGTTTAGATTACTATGGAAGTTGAAATGTCTTGTGGAGTTAGGGTGGGAGGTTGAAGGTGATGATGTGGTAGGGTGGGTTCCATGTGTCGGAAGAGTAAAGGGGGATGAAGTGGGTTGGTGTTTTAATGATTCCTAGGAAGGTGAATGGGCAAATGGGAAAGAATGTGGTTTTCGTTGTGGATTAGGAGATGTTATTGAGTAGATTGCGGCTCAGACCTTGATGATCACTTTTATGGGAAGTGGAAAAGAATTCATAAATGTTTTAGAAGCGACAAGGAGCTAAACTCTATTGATTTGTTAATGGCTCAGTTGGAGGTAGGTGGTCCAAACCAACAGACAAATGATCCTTCTAAGGAGTCACGTGACTTGGTTCTGCCTCTTGTTAATATGAAGGATAATAACATGACAATAGACCATGATGGTGGTCTATTTTCGTTTCTTCCTTCTCAGTTGCAGAGTGCAAGAAGATGGTTGATAACAAAAAAGAAATAACGAAGATTTAAATTGTTTCATCCCAGGACAAGAATGAATTTGCGTGGTGCACAACTTCTTACACCTACAAGAAGAATGATAAGATTATAAAAAAGGCATTTCAGTACTTGCTTCCCCAACCTCTTAGGTGGGGATTTCCCTATGAAAGAAATTTGGTGCAAACCTATTCCCCCGAAGATCCAAGCCTTCTGCTGGGAAATATTCCTCGATAAGGTAAACACTTGTGATATGTTGCAGAAAAGAAGGCTATACATTTGCCTTTCTCCTCATGTATGCTCTTTGTATAAGGAAATTGGTGAGACCCTTTCTCATTTAATGGTAACCTGTTCTTTTGTGTTTTGAATTTGGGAATTCTTTTGTATTCTCTTTGGCTACAAGTGGGTTCCCCCTCAAGATGTGGCAGGACTCTTCAACCATGAATTCTTGAAACAGCGAAAGAAAAGAGGGATGGTAATGTGGAAAGCAACAAAAGTAGCAATTTGTTGGGTAATAAGGGAAGAGAGGAACAACCGAATTTTCTTGGAAAAAAGTAAAACAATAGAGGAAGTGATTGATAGTATCAAGGTGAAAGTATCTCATTGGGTAAAACTCTTGGATTGCTTTCAAGTCTTCTTATCCACAAACATTCTAAGAACATGGTCTGAAGTAGCAGTCATCGAGAGTAAGAGATAAAGTAAGGTTTGAGTGGAAACCACCAGAAGGCAATAAAGTAAAACTGAATTTTGATGGGAGCTCCTTTGGAAATCTGGGTATCTCAGGAATAGGAGTATTCAGAAATTCTGAAAGGAAGATATTGGGTATGTTCTTAGGACCAATTGGCACCGGAAACTCATTGAAGGCTGAACTATTGGCATTACTACAAGGGTTAAAGCTAGCCAAACAGCTAGGATACAGACATGTTGAAGTGGAAGGGGACTCAAAAGTAGTAATTTCATGGACAGCAAACAACAACCATTACCCCATGGATGTTTAAACATGTGACAAGGGAAGTGGAGAAGATTGCAAAGGAGGTTGAGGCTGAATGAGGGATAGAATAAAGTGATTAAAGGGGACCAATAGTTCCATCACCAAGTTGTGTAAACTGTTTACAATCTGAATTTTAATAAAATACATGTTAACTGATGAAAAAAATAAAAAGGGCATTTCAAAAACAACACTTGGTGGATGGAGGGTTGGCGGACCCAGGTTGTGTTATCAGTAATGTAAGTTTGGAAAAGGAAAAAGAATGGCTCATCCAATCATGCTAGCAGGAATGGAAAAAGTAAGTGGAAAAAAAGGTTCTTCCTTGATTGCGAATAATGATGCAATGAGCCATGCTGAATCGAAGAGTGGGGAACCAACTATGGAGGGTGGAATGGTGGCTGATGCGAGACCACAGGACGGATGGAATTTGAAGTAAGGAGTGATAGGTGAGTTGAATTGTTTTGAAGACATTGGAGAAGGAGTTAAACTTAGGGAGGAAAAGAGGGAAGATGATGCCAGAGGCTGAATGCATGAAGTGGAAAGGGAGATTGGGGTAGGTTGTGGTGGAGAAAAGCCATTGGGTTCAAAGGTGTACAAGAGAAAAAGTAAGTATAGAACCTTTCTTGTGGACAAAGATAAGGAGATAGAAGTGGAACCAGAGGTTGATCCTTTGTAAGAGGAAGATGAAATCATTTTGGAGAAACCCATGAAGTTGGAGATGAAATGGCCTTGGAGGTAGTGGTAAACAAAGAAGTAGAAATGAAATTTTGGGCTTATTTTTTCTTGGAGGGGAGTAGTTTGCAAAGAAGACATTTAGGCCATGTTTGGTTTGAAGGGAAAGGTAGGGAAACTTATACAAGGTTTGTAAAGGTTTCCCTACCTTTCCCTCCCTTTCCCTACTTTTTCTTTCAAACCAAATACAACCTTAGGGAGTTGGAAGAAGATTTTGTACGAAGTTACTGAGTGGGGAATTTTCTTCGCAGACTTTCCTTGTTGCACATGCAATGCCATTTTCAGTACCTTGTTCCCTTCTTTGATGATTCTAGGTTTGACCATCTTGTTAAAGTTTGAGGCCATGATTTGTTTATAT